GTTTTAAACCGTTAAAGTGTTTTATTTAAATGTTAAATGCAATCAAAAATAAACAAAGTTTGATTGTAAATTGATAGTTTTTGCTATATAAATGTAATTAATTTTATTTAGTTTTAAATGATATTTAAAAATACTCTTTCTATAGAGGAGGTACTCCGCAGCAATTATAAAACAGAAATCTTTTTGCTAATTACTGTGTTTAGTCGATCTCAAGAAGCCGTGACGTCATTAGGTCACGGTAATACTATGCTTCCGAGCGTTTTAAGAGTTTAAAAATATGTTTTTATTACTGGGGGTTGATGGGGGGCCTTGCGAGGTACCTACCTCTTTACTTTCAAGAGTTTAAAACACAAATTGTATTGAAATGGTCGTAGTTAAAAATAAAATATTGCATTTTAAACCATAATAAGTTATCGCAAAGAACATTATGTTTGCGATAAGTTAAAAGTAAAAGAAAGAACGATTCCTCTATCAACGCATGGCTAAAAAGATACAACAAATTTATTTGATTTTTTTACAAATGTTTGATCTTGGCATATATAAAAAACGGTAATCATTTAAATATATACTTTTAACGGTTCAAAAAGCTAAATGTATTAGTTCAACGTTTTAAATCATGGAAAGTGTCTTATTTAAATGCGTAAAATACAGACAGTACTCAAGCTAATAAATTAAATATTAATGTTAGCATTCAAAGAAGTGTCTGGGTACAGGGAACAAGATATAATTACAGGTTAATTTATGTTTTTTACCCACATTTACACAAACATAATAACATAATACACTCCGCTCTAAACACCGGCCGGAGAAGCGGGCTCAAGTAGTCCCAAATTAAATTTCTTTTCGCGTTATTTAAAAGGCGAATTCTTTTAAGCGTCGCACGCTTTTCAACTTCCCGAGCCGTAATGGAGTGACCAAACAACCTAATTTGAGCTGACCCATTTCGTGCTATCCACTGTGTAAACGGAAATTCTATTAGAATCGATTCTATAGCTACTTTTAAACGATCTGCATTAGGGGTTCCTCAAATATGCTTCGACGGGTTCTTCGGAAAGACATTCCCTTTTTTATGACATGGGGTTCGCTTGATAGAAGGTGACATACCACAGCCATATAACATCTAAACATGGATAATATCTAAATTTGGATAGTTGGACATCTATATAATGAAATCTAAACGCAATTAAACTGCACAGTTTTTCAACTGTCTGTTCGTGACCCGGAGGAAATTTTTATACCCTTCCACTCGAAATCCAACTTAACTAAAAATTAATTATAAGTTTAAAAATATGATTAATATAATATAACATGTCCAACGTGTTTTAGAAATATTATAAATTACATTAAAAATTGGCCCGTTGATTAATAGCGATACTTTGCTATTGTTTGATCGACGATGTCAAAACGTTACAGTGCGAAAAATAGGCGTCAGTTTAACGGACGTACATATACTAACGTGAAGACGAAATAACAGAACTTCAAATAAGAATCAGTGAAAAATATCCTTCATTCCTCACATCCAAAATTCCACTCTCACACATCGACCTTTATAAACTAGTTTATAAAAGAAGTACGTGTAGGTCGAAGCTAAATAAATGTTCCTCACGCGGCAACGCTCAAACGAAATTAAATATAAATAACTTCGAAGGGTTGCAAGGGGTAACGGAATCGAATTAAAAAATAATATACACTTGCGAGGCTCAATCGAAGTTCGGAGGTAACTTTATTTGATTGCTTTAATTCTATACGTATTATAGCAAAGATCTACCGAAGGGATGGTGGAGTGTTGTCTAGCACGTTATGCGTGAGAGGTCTTGCGTTCGAATTCTAAATAAACAATAGATCATTTCAGGCAGGGCACAGACCTCGTATGGACCTCAATGGACACAGAAATGTAATCATTTCCCACGGGAAACGTTTTCTTATATTAAAATGTTAAGTCAAGCTAATATTAAGAATTTTTTATATTTAATGAGTGATCATTAAAACTTGGTCAATGAGAAACGGGTTTTTATAATAAGGCTCTTAATGGCAAACGTTTTTTTTAATTATATAAATATTATCATTCTATTGTAGATCAATGATTCACATATTATATAGAACCTGTTTTAGATTAGTCAGCCAAAGGTTAAAAACGAACCCCATTTTGAATACTTCGCTGCCTGTCTCTTCTCCTAGGCAGTATCTCAAGAACCTCATAAGTTAGGGTTTAAATTATTACTGTTGCCGCTGTCACAACAAATATATTTGGTTTTGCTTACCCCCCACATGCAGTCCCCCGCGACCACAACTGCAGAAAACATCCGAATCGATTGATTAAAATAAATTGTAAATAAAGTACTTATATATTTTGCGTTTTAAACCGTTAAAAGTGTACACTGGTGTGCACTTTTATTTTTTTATAATTAAGTTTCAAACTATGTGAATATGTTTGTCTTGTAACAAAGACAAATATACATACGTATTTTATATTAATTCAAAATTCGTGTTTGTAGACAATAAAACGGAAAGCTTGTGAGCGATTCCAGCCAGTCGTTTTACGGAATAAAAATGTTTGTCTTGTCGCTTCGTCAACAGTTAAGGAACAAAGGCTTTGTAGACATAGGCGTATTTCACATATATATGCAATTCAAACTATAGTGAATATACCTTATCTCCTCTAATTACTAGACTTACATCACCTACAAAACCGTAAACTTGGATAAACACGCGTACATGGCAAGGCACAAACGACCTAGATAACACTCGTGTCATGCGAAGCGAGCTATGTACCCTTTGTATATTATGGTTACAATTTGTAGGCAATATACGGAGCTACGATACAGGTAGGGAATATATTTCTTGCTTGCTCTAGATATGGTGAGGAGTTATGACACTGTAAATCGTTCGGATTGTTTGTAACCCCTGACAGACGTGTAGATATAATGACATGGCTGTATGGCGAAAATTGACTATATAAATAAAGTTAAGAACTATCTGTATCCGTATACATTAAAACTCTTATAACGGTTTAAAACACCAATACATCGACCAGTGACGATGGTAGCTGCAAAGCATGCGAAACGTCCGGCCGTAAAAGTAAATAAGTTAACATTTCAAGTTTGAAACCGTTAAATGTGTTTCATTTTCATTAAAGATAATTTAAGAAACAAAGAAACAGTCAAGGTAAGTATAGTCTGTAGTTAAAATAAATTATAAATAAGCAAACTAACATATTTCTAACGTTTCTTCCTTCCTAATATTCCTAATATATATCAGTATACGTAACGTAAGCGTATATAGTTAAAAGGTTTTATTTAAATGTGTACTACTCGCGTAAACTATAGATAATGCTTAACTACATTTATTTCAAAAAGATAAATTCAATAGTACAATATTTAAAAGAAAAATAAATGAAAAAAGGGTATTTCTCAGGAACTTTACAGAGCTTTTAAGAAGCTCAATATTAGTCTTCATAACTTTTGCAGTTTACGCGAGGAATTTGAGAGAAAAATGTTTTCGCACGAATTATAAACCTATTTTCTTTGCCCATTTTCCATTTTTACTACACAATATTTCACTTTAAAATGTTATTCAAAAACTACCCTTACAAACGAACACAGAAATAACGAATGTCCTTCAAGTTGAACATGTCGCTTGAAAGTTAAATGTCGCAAAATAGCATTGTCTCACATTTGAAAAGGCATTTTAAACTTTGCATATTCGGAGTCCAGAAAATGTCATACATTTTAGAAATGTCTGCAAACGTGACATTTCAACACTGTCTAGACAATTTAGAATAACATTCCGTTTCTAACAAGTCGACAATTCTGAACCGCTAAGCACCTGACACTATGACACTTAAAGTTAAGACGCTGACACAACGGTAGCAGGAGGTGAATTGGAATGGGCCGGAGTTCGGACATCGACTTATTTTGGGGCTCTACGTTTTCGTTATAAATAACACTCGGTTACATTCATATACGACGGACTCGTGTGTCTAATGGGTAATGGTTAGATTCTCACCAGATTATAATTTTTCTGAAACATGTAATGTGAATTAGTACTCATTTGGGATATTCCTATTCAATAATAGGAATAGCCAAAAAACCTCTCAGGGTCACGAACAATTAAATGTCTCGGATGCTTTGTGGTGACATCCGTGGTCACGTGGTGATATATTTAAATTAACTTTAAAAAAAAAATTCATAGCTGTCCATATAATATTAGTAATACTAAAAATCTCAATATGTACTTTTGTCATTAATATTTTTCTTTCAAAAATTATATATGTATAATTATAGTATATGTATAAATATAGTAGTATTTATTTCTAATCAGTACTGTTAATTATTTAATTGTATTTAGACAAAAGAAGACTTAAAAATAATAAAATAAAATGTCTGGGACAGCAATTAAATTCAGAGTCCTGCCCTGCATAACTGCATATATTCAAGTCTGCTGACCCCAGTCTCCCCTAGTCACCCAAATGTGACATTCACCTTGTTAGTGGAGATTTTGTATTGCAAGTGGTCTTTGTGGAAAGATTGTGGTCTCTATTCTGTATACGATTATTTATTTAAGAATTCTACATAGGACACGTGAAATGTATATAATATAAGTAAAGTTGTATTTTGTTATTATAGAGATTGAATATAAAGCCATAATAGGTCGATAGCGCATCTGGTTTATGAGATATATAAGATATGAGTCCTATTAAATCTAACATGATTCTAAAAATTACTTTAGAAGTGTCTAAAACAGGCTTTGCAACAGTCATGCTGGTCTTGCGTATTTCCGAAACGGTCCTTTCAAAATAACATTCCGCGTTTCAAATTGTTAAAGTGCGATCGATATATCAAAGTATATAACGGAGGAATTATAATTTTAATAATTCAGTTTCATATTCAAATACTTAATTGCTATTTATATCGTACAGTATAGGACCTTACTCAGTCCGTCACACCAAAGTTTTGAAGTGAATTTGTGTTTAACCCATTTTGTAACCTGATATTACCGACATGAGATGGTCTTGTCAGTTCGCAGGTTCATTTTATTAATTTCAATCCCTTGTCATAACCATGCATAATTTGATAAGACGACGACCTATGTAATTAAGCTGGAAATAGGAAGACGCGAAGGAACTCCTTGTAATTTTGCCTTGGGATTTTATAAGCACTTGTTTGTGTAGTGTAATCCCATTTTCTCTTGGCATGGGAACATAATCATAAACAACATCCAACTCTTTAATCAATATTCTAATGACAAGTAGTTGATGTTATGTCTGTACCGGACATTTGAACACCTAGTACTTGATGCGATACTAGGCAACACTTTTATCATTGGGATACGGTCTTGCTTGAGTGTATGATAAATAGTTGGAACGTGATTTTACGTCATTAGTTATAGATTTGCTGGGCTCGTTGGTGTGCAATCAACGGGTCGTGGGTTCGATTAGCACCGGGTCCAAGTTTCACTTCGTTTAATAATCTGGATGCTAAATGTGTAGTAAAAATATCGATCGGCTGAGTCACGGACCATCGTCCGCAAATAAAGAAGCCGTGAAATTTAATCGCGTTTCATTTTAAGTCTGTGGATTTACGAATATTCAAAGCAATTTCAAAGGTCGACAGCGTATCCTGTTTATTTGACTGGGGTATTACACCTTCCATCATCTTAAACCAAGCTTGTCGCACTATGTCATTAAAAAGATGTAAATATTAATATCTAGGATATCGAGTAAATTAGCTAAAACTGAACGTTAAAAAGTCGCCGACGCTAGTAAAATTTTTTCACCACATTTTCAGTAGCCGGGATGAACTCGAATCTAGGTTAAGAGAGATGTTTAAAAAAAAAACTTTCGGCTCGGTTTGCAACTTGTTAGCTAATTTATATTTAATTAGGCACTTACTTTGTTTGAGTTTTAGTTTTGATAGCTAAAGCAAAGTGCGGTTTCACGAGACCCAAAGCGACTTTGAAATATTGTAAGAATGACCAACTTAATTTGAAAACTGTCTTTTATTTGTAGTAAAATTTTGCAAGCAAATACTTCAATGCTCGACTTTGTGTGTTGTGATCCTAGACACAAATTATAATTTTTTAATTATTGTATTTTCAAGGGGCAAAAAACTTATTTTTCAGCTATTTCGGGCTAATTTAATTAATAAACCGTTATTCACAAATATCCTACAGTAAAAGAATGCTTAATACTGACCGTCTCAGTAGTTAAATGGTTCTGAGCGAGACTTATTTCGAATCGTAGAAAAAAATATGTATTTTTGTTCTGGCAAGGCATCTGATCAACAGGCAATAAAATGGTTTAGAGAAACTGACACATTAATGTGTTCACAATATCCCGTTACCCCGGGGAAAAGGGATATCACTTTAACACACGCGTACTTCTACACAGTATATAATTCTTTTATGCGTAGTAAGTAAATTAGTAGTTTCATGTAGTAATGTTTACTAATTATCGACGATCGTGGTTATTCCTCACAGGAACCAATGTTTCAAATAATTTGTAAATAATTTGAAACATCATACTTCAACTGGTAATCTGGAAAACTGGGTATAGATGGAATCTAAATTCGTTCCTGGCCACCGGATCCAAGTACACAAGTAAAAAAGGCGTGGAGTTTTATCGCGCTTCGGTTTCAGTCTGAAATCCCTCTTTAGATGTTATATGGCCGGGGTATTAGGTTAACCTACTATCAAGTGAATCCCGCCCTTGTCTGTTCTCCTCTTCCTTAAACAAATGTAAGTGTTTTAAAAACATGTTTCCTTCTTTGCAGGACTAAACGCAGTGAAAATAGTGAAAGTGGTAGTACCAGAAATAATACAATACGGTGTCCAGGACGCGGTGATATTAGACTGTGATTACACATACGGTAACGATACATCGGGTCTCATGGTGAAGTGGTTCTTCAAGAACAAAGCGCGACCAGTGTACCAATGGATCGCGAGCCAGAAACCCCAGGACATGGGGATATTACGAGGCCGGGTGGACTTAACCTACCGGGTCTCGAGTGATCCGTTAAAAATGCACAGAGCACTTCGGATAGTGAAGCCGAACACGGATATTTCGGGAGATTACACCTGCGTCGTGTCCACGTTTATGGAGGAGGACTCGAAAACGAAGCAAATGATTGTTTTCGGTGAGTGGGTTTTTATTGTGCTCGCTATAACGCGGTGGATTGCCGGTTTTATAGATTACTTGGGCTGTCTAACAGCGATTTATTGGCGATAAATTGAAGTTACCCAACTATCCCCGGTCTCCCCTTAATATCGTTGTATTCCAACTCAATTCAAGAGATAACCTAGAGTAGGGCCTTATAAAATATTAATAACGGGTTTAAGCGCGAAAATATAGTTCGGCTTATTAATAACTACGACCGATGCGTTTTAAACCGTTAAGATTTCTTTTATATATATTTTTATCTTATCCAGTATTTTTCACAATGCATCTAGGAACACCTCAGTTATTTATAGCGCAGAATTACAATGTTTAATTTCACGAGAATTTTAAAGCAGCCAAGAATGCTAGCGACGTACGTTCTCGGAAAGAGCATTGAATAAAAGAGAATAAATTTCCTACTACGAGATTGCAGACTCGAGGTAATCCCCAATCAAGGTTCAGACGTAAGTTACTAAATGAACCCAGCCGGACTCACGCTGCTTAATACCGTAAGAGCAGAGGGGTTTTGATTCATCATTATTTTCAACGCTGCGACGTCTCGTATTTTCTTACGACAGAAGCTATACAAGCATGGTACTCATTTAAAGGAAGGCAAAACAGCCTCTGGACTTCGTCTCGTGTGGTAACAATATCGAAATTCCGTCTTGGCCACAATCCACACTTGAAAAAGCAGTGTTTCGGTTTTTAAGAATTTAAGAATCTCCAAAGTTAAAACAGTTTATATGTTACATGGTTTGGGGGTATTGCATCTTGCATCAAGGAAACCACATGCTTGTCTCTCGTCCTCTTAGGAAAAACCCTTTATATCTAAACTATGTAGCCTATAAGAAATTATGAGCAAACCGTATATCAATAGAGTTTTGTTAAAAAATAAAACTGTACATTTACCCACGTACGACCGATCAAATTAATTAAAGAAATGGGATTATTTTGAAAGTTCCACATTTCCCACATTCTAGTTAGTTTTATTATAAACAGTGTGTTATGTTAATTTTTAAACCCGCTGGATTAATTACAATCTAACGATATTTGCAGTCGTACTGTGACATTCCGCACTCGTTGTCAAATGTTCCTTATGAAATTGTAATGAACTTTATAATTAAGATAACGAGAGTGGCTACGCCATGTAACATAAGGAAAGCTCTCTGAAAGTTTAAAACCGTGCATACTGGCATGTCGGAAACTTAATTCATTAAACTAATGGAGCGAAGCGCAGATCCAGATGTAGATAATAATATAACGCTTATGGAATATTCGTATGAACGACACTGTTCGTTAATAAATAACGAGATATTATCTTTCGCTGTCGGTGTTACTGACTGTTGCGAAATGTTACTCGTGTTACGCCAAACCTCATTGTTCTTATTTCAAATTATAATTACACAAAGTGTTTTTATATGACTCATTTAACGGTTCAATTATATTAGTTATGGATATTAGGGACTCCTTCCATTTCGACTTCCCTCGTGACTGATGTTGTAAAGCATCTAAAACATTGTTAGTAAATAAAGTTGTTTCAATAATATTTGCCAATATTTTAAAACTATTTAGAAGTTGTGAGTCGTGATTTTACAAAATACCAATGTTCCCGAATTGTCTCTTACGGAATCACAGACACACAATGAATATCTATACTTACCTTACTTACTACACCCGAAACGTCGGGCCGAAGTTAAAAATCATTTTCAAATAAGTTTAACTAATATATCGCGTTTTAAACCGTTAAAGTGTTTCATTAAAAAATATATCTATACTTATTATAATATTATAAGTGTGAAGTTCTATGTTTCTGTCTGTTTGTTTCACCGTCTCTCGCGGCACAATGAAGTTACGAATTGACTTGATTTAATAAGTGAGTTCACCCTTAGTGTGTCATATGTTTTTGTCTCTTTCTAACCCACCAATTTCCTAAAATGTGTCCTATAAGCATTCTGCAATTTACAGAGCTAAAACAGTTAAGTTAGCTGGAATGCAGACTAGTAGTGACTAAGAAAGACGTGCACGCTTTCTTGGAATCCGCCCCAACCGATCATCCTTTCTGTATTTTAAAACACGTTACCCCAAATTTAGCTAGGGCGAAGTCATATGAAAGAACTAGTACATTATATATTTAGAAGGAATGGAGATACAACAATTCGCATTTATTACATAACTTTCGATATATATGAAACAAAAACATAGTTACAATATTACACGCTCAAAATCTCGTCCAGCAAATTGTGATATGACGAGAATCAATAAACCTTGACGAGGCAGAGGCTGTAAAATACAACACGGGAAAGTTTATACGAAGGCCGAATTTCATATTTCGTCCGTTCCTCGTAAAACGTTCCCTTTTCACATGACACATACCTACAGCCCTACCACCGCATTTCGGGATAGTAACGTACAAGGCACGAGCTGAAGCGTGAAGTGTACATGTGACTTTTTAATTCATATGATATTCATTAAAATAAAAAATTCTTACTTCTTAATTGCATATTTTTTAAGTTAAATACCTCAGTCCTAATATGTGTCAATATACGGTATTGGGACGAACCGGCATCGAAGTGCTATTGCTCTAACCAATAGAGCCACCGTTCGTCATTGTCGATTTTTTTAAATGTTTTAATATCAAATGTGATTAGAGCAACAGCTCGGAACATTGTGGATCGGAACAGTCCTGTCCGCCTCGTAATTTAAAAAAAATCTATAATCGATTTTTTATTTATATACCTAGTTTCTGAATAAAAAAGGCAATTTCGTTATTTATTATAATCATATTTCTCATTCTACTTATTTTATTATTATATTGTAATGACAATGAAAATTTGTATTACCTATCATTTTTAAATAAAAACGGTTTAGAATACGAAATACATTAGTTAGCAAAATTTCACACCGACCCGACAATTCAGATGCTGTTTATACAAGTCACGGAGAGGATACAAAACTTTAATAGTTACAAATAATTAATTTCATATTTAAAAATGTTAAGTGTTTTATGGATAAAATTGTGTTCGCGTTTATCTTACGCCGCATCCTTGTGTTTTTGTAAGGAGCAAGTTTTATTCGAGCCAGCATCTGTTATTCGCATCTTTTTACGCCTATACTTGTATGGACTCCGTACGGAAGGAAACATTTGCGGATAGCATATTGCGACAAACATATTCGGGACATTTAATAATCAATATTAACTTTTTTTTGAAAATAATAAGCAGGTGTCAATAACTTATGTCCATATCACAAGTATACGTATGTATGAACATTTTATTTATATCGTATAAGTACTAAATTAACATAATGGTTAGAATAAGAGTTAAAAAAAATTATTACGGTTATAACCGTTTATTAAAAAATAAACGGTTTAATAAGCAAAATATATTAGTTTAACTATACTATATATACTAATTTAGACTGAAGATGGAGAGAGTACCTGATATTAAAATAAAATCTGATATACAAGTGCTATCTGTTTCCCCATAATTTGTATTCGGAAAAACTAGTTGAGTTCTATAATATGTCGCTTTTAAAAACTGTTAACAGTGTTTTATTTAAATGTGTTACCTAACGCCTACACCTAAACGTGTAAACCTAAACGCTATACTTCGTCGCTCCATCATCTGTGGACATTACTGACCTGGATACAATTTCCTACCACCCATCAATATACATTTTTTTTTGTTAATACTTTGCATAACTACAATGTATACGTTTTTAAAAACTGAAAAATACAGTTTAATATACATTATCGAATGTCAGTAATTCATAGACCAAATAATGGAGTGCAATTCTTTGGTTTCGACAACAATAAACCCGAAAGTATTCGTTCGGAATCAGGGCACCTCAATAAATTCACCCTAACCATGCATAATATCTCATATGTGCCTGCATTTTTCCACCAAACTTCGTGACAGTTTGCAAATTTACGACGCTATTTTTGTGGCAAGTTATATTATCGAAGTTGAAATGTTGTTCCACATTCAAAACAATGTTCTTAAAATGAAATAATAGTGTCGTTTATTAAGCCCTTCTTTGTAAGATATAGGAGGACAGAGGTTTCACTTGATGAGAGGTAAAATATCCCAGCCATATAACATCTACACAAGATGCGCTGTCGCCCTTTTTAGCTTTGCATATTCGGAAATCCACAAACTGAAACTGAAACGCGATTATGCTTCACGGCGTTCGTGACCCGGACGGAATTTCGATATTCCTACCACCCATTTAATATCCAGATTTCCAGACGAAATCCAACATGTTTCAGTAATGAACAATTAGAAACATGTTGGACCCGATAGGAATCGAACCTACGGCCCGTTATTATTGGCCACATTGACCCGTCAAGAGCTTCGGTAGCTTATGACTGGATTCGGTAATTGAGCACTTTCGGCACTACTTGCCTGTTAATATTAACGATCAGTGAAACGGACATGTGGTGAATTTCACTTTTAATGTACTCGTGTTAATAAACAAAGTTACATTTAATACAAGTACTAAGTAAACCAATATTTCACGGGCTCGTCGGTGATGATAGCGATGTATATAATAGCTAATAATAATCAAGTGGTCGTGGGTTGGATCCACACTGGGTCCAACATATTTATAATACATTTATAATTTTTGTCAGGTGGCTGGTAAAAGGCTCTGAAGCTGAATCGCGTTTCGGTTTCAATCTGTGGATTTTTCGATGACCAAAGCCAAAGTAGGTTGACAGAGTATCTTGTTGAGGTGATAGGTATATGGTCGTAGTTCTTAAAAAAACATTATTTCAGTGGTCAACACACATCAGAAACCATCTCCATTTGCTCTCTTAAGGCAAAGGCTTCCTTCTTCTCTATTTTTTATTTTCTAGCTGTCGAGATGATTTCAAGCATTTCCTTTCACTTTATTACTTGAAACAGTACCTACAGCTAGTTTATTCGTAATAACTATAGAAATAAAGTTCAGAGATTTTCCTAAGTGCCAAGTACGAATCTCAGACTTATTTGCATTAAAATGGAGTCGAGTCGTTCTACTTCGATGCATAAGTTCGAGCTCACTAGAAATGTAAAATACATATTAAAAAGCAAAACGCATCTTAACTATTAAATAGACTGTTGACTTCAATAACAAAATATATTTACAAAGTTGTTATGTGCCGGCCCTAAGGTGCACTCTATTAGGCGACAGCCCTAAGCTGTGCCACTACGGGGAAACTGCTGATAGTGCGCGTATTCGATACCCGTGCGATCGGTATGTGACGCTACTGTTGCCGTACCCATTTTAGTATAAGAAATGGATTAGAATTATCGTAAGCGTCGACCTGATGCATCGTGCACAGGGAGGCAAGTAGGATTACTTAATTAAATGTAATATTTTTTATTAAAATTATTTATTAAGTAAATGAGTTTTATTGCAACCACCGGTGGTGACTAACATAATTAAGTAGTCAAAAGTCAGGGGCGCGCAAACGCGTTTTTAAAAAGCAAAAAGAACGATTAATTATTAGATGTGTATTCACATGAATGATCTGCTTAAGACTAAAGTATATTAAAATTAGAAGCTAGAACACCGGCCAGGAGGCATCCGGCCGATAACATGTTCTCCGAACTCATATCAGTCCTTAGAAAAGATATTACGCTGCAGTGGCATGTCTGGCCGCATAAATAAGTTGTAAGCGTTTTATTTATTGAATTGATTTACATTTAAAAAAAACTGTTCAAATATCGGTAATATTAAAAAGTTTCCGCAGTGTACGCGAGTAGTGCACATTTAAATAAAACACTTTAACGGTTTAAAACGCGATATAAATATATTTGTTAAACTTATTTTTTTTCTCCAAGAGAAAGGATGGCTTCAAATTTATCAAACACCTAGGATCCCACATTAAAAACTCTGGATCCCATTAAACAGCATACGGCAAACGCGAAGACAACGTTAGTCAATTCTTAAGGAGGTCAGTTTCCCGAATACCAACTTCGACGGAACTGATAGCGATAGCGTAGCAATTTTTACTTTGACGTCAAATAGATCCTCCATCTTTAGTCTCCCCATGACCACGGGTGCAAAACATCCGAAACGTCGGCCTGAAATTAAAAAATAATTTTCAAATAAAATAATTATACTAATATATATCGCGTTAAAAAGTTGTATTTAAACCCGAAATATATTAGTAAACTTATTTTTCATTTATTTTACCTACTGTTCGACGATTCGCCTGCCTTGCAGCAGCGATCATGGCTGCTATAAATATATAAATAAATTAAGAACCCGTTCACGAATTCATTTTTTAAACGTTAAGTGTTGTTTTATTTTTAAAGATTGAAACTCTCCACAAACTACATACAACACTAAATTCGATTTTTATTACTAAGACAAGCCAAACTTACTCGCTCGAAAAAACTTCAATGTTCAACATACATAAAATTTTAAATAAAATTAAGCCAAACAAGTACAATTAAAACCGAAAACGGTAGGGAAAGTTCGAAACAAAGGCTAATTCGGCTTAAAAGTTGAAATAAAAATGCGAAGCGGAGACAGTCGGGCTTAAGGAAAATGTTTCGGCTGCAAAAATAAACTTTGGACTGGCGTTCGTGCATGTTAACACCTCATGACCGCTTTTGCCAATATAAGGACTTATAAGTCACAAGAATTCAAAAATCGATTACTCTCTTTTTAACTAAACCACAGATTATCTTACATTGGTGTTATCGGGTTTATAGAATACGTAATCACACCTTCACAAACAAAGATAATGAAATAATAATAAAGCTAGGGTTTGTTTGCTTGAAAGCGCTAATCAGCAGGAACTACTAGTTCGAATTCGTGATGGTTTTTGTGTTGGATAGACCATTTATCGAGAAAAACTTTAAGAGCTTTATAACGCAACGACCAATAGAAAGAAACAATTGAAAATGTGCAAAAAACGGGACCAATTATTAATTTTCGAGAGATTCGTTACGTGCGTTGCGAAAACGGTTCAAGAAACTATAAATAAAAAAATGATTTTTCTTTAAATTATCTTAAAAAATGTCTCTTTACTCGCAAGATCCAATTTAGTTCACTTTAAGTTAATTTTTACAAGATTTTCCACCAAATTTCAAATAAAATGAGTATAGCTCTACATAACATTATAATCCCATTTAACTATGCTATAACGGAGAAGGATAAACCTTTGGGTTCACTTCTTGCAAAGTAAAATTCCCCAGCCATAAAACACTCAGACAAGGAGCAATGACGACCTAGTCTTTGAAACTTCACGGCTGTTCCACCTGTGTGACCTGTGCAGCAGTCTGATATTCCTATACTATATATTTTTACGTTTTTACACGCCTTCATCTTTATAAACTTAAGCTGTTTACCCACGACGTCGGTTGCGTTCCTTCCCGTCTCTTTGCTAGTTAACCTACAAAGATAGATATATAGCGTCGCGGACTTCTTTTTAGATCGTTTAAAGAGGAATCATTCTTTCATACATAATTTTTGGATATCTTGAACTGTTTTTGTAGCGTACACCTTGGAAACCCATAATGAAGAATAATATTCTCATTTTTTTTACATTTCTCGCTGTATCTATCACAGGGCGATGTTATAGCCTGTAGCCTTCCTCGATAAATGTTCTAACCAACACAAAAATATTTTTTCAACTCGAACCTGTAGTTTTTGAGATTAGCGCGTTCAAACCAACAACTCTTCAGCTTTAAATATTAGTATAGATATATATTCCTACCACATATTATTTATTATATACTAAATTTCCTTATTTTTCAGTGCCGGAAACAAACTTCCGGCTGGTGCAGAACAAAACTGACGATGACACAGTCAATGTCATCTGTGCAGCTGATGGGGCCTTTCCTGCCCCAAACCTCACACTTGCAACGCCTGAAAGGTAAGTAATTACTAATAATTATATGTTTTATTTCTAGAGTTTACTATTTACAATAGCAAGTTGCAAGCTTATTGACACTGACAAGAGATTGTGTCAGTATTGTCTATCTATACTAATATTATAAACGACAAAAAATCGACGATGGGGTGGGGGACTCGGTAGCTCGTTTGGTAGAAAAAAAACACGGACTGACGATGCCGGTTCAAGTCCTGCCCGAGTCGAAAATATTTTCAATTTATTTTCGATCTTTAAAATAATATTATAAAGCTGTTTGTTTGTTTAAACGCGCTTATCTCAAGAACTGCTGGTTAGAATGTAAATATTTGTTTTGGATTGACCATTTATGGAGGAAGGCTTTAGAGATATAAACCCGGTGACCAAAGGAGCAGGAAGCAGTGGGAAATGTAAAAATCATCCCTCTATGGGGGTTTTGCGTGTGCTAAAAGACGGTCTAACCAAAAGATATGTATAAAAGAATGAAACTTCTATCTTTTAAGGTTAATTCACAATCAGTTCAGAATCGTTTTTATGGTAATAAAATTTGGTAGACATTAATGCATTAATACACATTATTTATTAGATAGCATCAAAATAATAATAAACATCTTGCAAGTAACAAAACAACATTTGCCGGAACACTGAAATAATATAGATGAACGGATAGTTAGGATTCAATCTATTACTCTACATTATTCTCATTAATAAAACCAAATTATCTCTGACCCCATTTTAATTTACGTAGCCAGAGATATTTTTTAAATAGTTTATGGCGCAGATGCCTTTAGTCTTTGTAATCTTAGACTACTTTTTCTACTTCTTAGACTTCTTTTGAGTGCGTAAATATTGTATTTTTTGAATACTTTAATATTATTCACATGAAGGCACTATATGTCTACTTTAAAAATCGAATTTGTAATTTCATCTTCAATGATTGCTTAAGCTGCAAAGCATACGACGTTGAACCTTAATTATCAAGAGTTAAGGTTGAAATTACATTGCGCGAGGGGTGCGCATCAATAAGTTAAAAAAATTCGACGATGAGGTGGAGGACTCGGTAGCTCGATTGGTAGAGCAACAGCACGGAACGCTGACGATGCCGGTTCGAGTCATGACCGAGTCGAAAATTATTCCAATATTTTTTCGACGTTTAAATGATATAGTAGTTTTTAATAACATTGCTTATAATAGTAGTTTTCTTTGTTAATAATAGTATCACTAGATACTCCTGTCTAGCAACGACACGAAAGCATAAAATGTATGTTGTTTAATCTATGATATTGGAACGTAAAGCGTTTCACCGTAATCCAGAAAAAAACATTTCCCACTAATTTTATTAAGCAAGCCGCAAAAAATATCGAGTTTACGTTTAAAATTCAGTTAGTCTTTACCTTTGAATTTTGTTCACGAAAATGAATTTTCCGAAAGTAATAATTACGACGTCGCTTTAATTAAAATCTGACGGCCACGAATCCGTACATAAAAGCCATCATTATATGTGGTCAAGGGTAATCTGATTACAGGTATTGTGTAGGGATTAGCCTATGATTACGACGCTAAGAGGCTTGTACTAAACGATTACACAATTTATAGAAATTTAAATCAAATATTAACGGTATAAAACGCCACATATATTAGTTGAACTTATTTGTAAATTATCTTAACGGCGCGACGTTTCATAAAGGTTATTCGCGTTTCGGTTTTGGTCCAAAGCCATATGTCGACAGCACATTTACTTTATATGTTAAACGGCTGAGATATTTCACCTTCCATCAAAGAACCCCCATCTTGTCAGTCCTTCTTTATCACAAGAAAAACAAACAAATATTTTGTAAATATGTGGGGTGCCTACCTATTACCATTTACACATTTAACGAATATTGGCAAGTATTTTGTTTTTATTATTTATTGTTATATTGCCAACAAAAATGTACAATTCGTGAAAATTTGAACTGTGTTGCTACCTTGGTTACAATAATATTGACCATATAATATTGGTCATAGAAATATTGACCTGTTTTTATTCTTTAGATACATTATAATTGTACTTTCTCTAACTCTTAAGCTAAAAGCGACAACTTTTAATTGGCTTTCTGATATATAACTCGTCGACTATCCTTTTGCTGTAAAAAAGGAAAACTCCCCCCGGAAAAAAAAAAACGAAAAAAATCCCCCCCCCCCCCCCCAAAAAAAAACCCAAAACCCCCGGGGATTAACGAGGGGGACCCCCCCCCCCCCCCCCCCCCCCCCCCCACCCCCCCCCCCCCCCCCCCCCCCCCCCCCCCCAAAAGAAAAGGGGGGGCCCCCCCCCCCCCCCGGGGGGGGGAGGGGGGGGAAAAAACCCCCCCCCCCCCCCCCCCCCCCCCCCCCCCCCCCCCCGGGCGCCCCCCCCCCCCGGGGGGGGGGGGGGGGAGAAGGGGGGGGGGGGGAAAAAAAAGGGGGGGGGGAAAATTTTTTGGTCCCCCCCCCCGCCGGGGGGGGGGGGGGGGGGGGGGGGGGGGGGGGGGGGCCCCCCCCCCCCCCCCCGGGGGGGGGGGGGGGGGGGGGGGGGGGGGGGGGGGGGGGGGTGGGGCCCCCCCCCCCCCCCCCCGCGCCCAAAAAAAAAAAAAAAAAAAAAAAAAATCCTATTGCTGTAAAGTTTTTCGATGAATCTATCTATATTAATACTAAAGCTGAAGAGTTAGTTTGTATGTATGATGTTCAGCGCTAATTTCTCGGGAATTAAATACAACTAATTAAATAAAAAAAAGATTTGCACTCTAGCGTCAAAAACATCGCAAGTTACTATACCAGAAAACAGAGCTGCCATACATAGCCGTTGTTACACGAGATCGTGACAAGACTGCAAAATAAAGATGCTCTACCTTAGATCTTAAATGGAAGATTAGCTTAATAGCTGGATTGTGGCACCCCTTTCAAAAGATGTTGCATTTATGTAAGCCGCAGTGCGCACTGCGGTCAAGCCTATAAGGGTATTACGTGAAGATCATTATGAATATGTGGTACTGCGAAATTGTGGTTAATTCAACCTTGAAGCTGAGGAGTTTGTTTGTATGAACGCACTACTCTTAGAGAACTATTGTGTCGAAATGAAAAATTGTTTTTGTATTGGTAGAACATGTTATATCAAGGAAGGTCTATAACACATTGCGGTGTGCTGTGTGTAATAGGAGAGCAGAAACAGCTGGACAAAAAAACGGGGGAAATTATTAATTTTTGTGAGTTTCGGATGCGTACGCTGCAAAAACATCTCTATACCCAACAAATAAAAAAACTTTTGGTAGTACACATTTAAATAAAACAAATTACGGTTTAAAACGCGAAATATATTCAAGTAAAATGTTTGGAAATAAGTTTAACTAAACTTTTTTTATCTAAATACTTTACTGATTCTTCCTTTAAGCCACTATTTTAAGAAACGTTAATTTTTAACCGTGAGTCAATCTTCGGCTTTCAAAGGTCAGTAGTTCGGCTTCGGTTACTTATAATTAATGAGCTTTCCTATATTCCTAACATGCAGGGCGTGCATAGTAAAAGGTCTCATTAGAACTGCTAATTAAAATAGCACGGCTAAGTAATCTCGTGTACCTTGAATTCGATAGAAGCATTCCGAACGGCGGTATGCTTTGTCCCATAATATCAGAACTAACAAGGTTATGCGCAGATTGACTGTAAATGTCCTAGTGGGATATCTTATTTCGTTCACAGTATATTAATTTGACCGCCTCTGTAGCCAAATGGTTAAACGTATTGCCTAGCATTGCGTTAAGCGCGAGAGTAAGAGCTTCGTCCGCGTGGAATAGTGATTTGGGGTAGAATTTTTAATAATTTATTTATTCATTTATGTAATTGGGTGCATTTTAGCCAGACAATCTATGTTGTAGGTGCTACTTTGCCGCAACACCCTCATCACCCACTCTAACTCCCACTCTCATTCCTCCTCACTCTACCTCCCACTCCTATTCCCAAAAAGCCAATGAAGAAAGTTTTATTGTTCTAGATTCAAAAACCACCAATTTCCATACAAACTTTCATCCCCCTTTTCAACCCCTATCAACCCTTATTTGGCATTAAAGTAAGTAGCCTATGTCCTTTCTCAGGCTCTAAAATATCTATGTACCAAATTTCATTTAAATCAGTTCAGTAATTTCGGAGTTAAAGCCGGACACACAGACAGACAGACAGAGTTACTTTCGCATTTATAATATTATTAAAATCTATAATTTATTTACTTAAATAAAAATTTATAAATAGTATGAATAACAAGGTTTGATTTTGTTCGGCATTTCTATCAATTTGTTAAATGTAAAAAAGTAGTGACGTAACTATGATAGACATTTTACGGCTAATTTTTTTGCACCTCCCGTTGCTTTTAATACAAATTTCTAAAGATTTCTATCGTAATCTAGTACTAAGTGTAGTCTATTTTACTCAATATAATTTATACTGTCAATGATAATTTAGTTGTCTAATAAAAAAAAATATTAAAATCGGTCCAGTACTTTTTGAGTTGAGAAAAATACAAATCTTTCCTCTATAATATTACTGTAGATAGCTGTTACCCACGATATTCGTATCCCGTCGTTCGGGTCGTTCTTGCAAGTTAATCTTTAAACATAGACATATAGCGTCGCGGACTTTTTTTTAGATTATTTAAAGGGGAATCATTCTTTCATACACAATTTTTAGGTATCTTGAACCGTTTTCACAGCGTACGCATCTGAAACCTACAGAGATGTAAATTTCCCTCGTTTCACATTTCTCACTGTATCTTCGCTCCTATTAGTCACATCGCAATGTGTTATAGCCTATAACATTCCTCGAAAAAAGCTCTTACAAACAACAATATTTTTCAATTCAATTCGAAAGTATTCCTGAGATTAGTGCGTTCAAACAAACAAACAAACTCTTCAGCTTTATATTTTAGTGTAGGTATAGATAGATGTCTAGCATCTAAGTTGCGTTATACAGTATTTAAATATACTTATAGATTATATATGTACAATTTCATTTCATATAATTAAGAGCTTCAAAAAATTAACATAAATATTATATTTAGGCGTCTCAAGGACTGTATGGCCAATAACCAACGAATCACAGGTTCGATTTCCATTGGATCTTTGAAAAGTAATTCGTTATTTGAACAATGGATAAAACAGCTCTCTTTTAAAATCAGAATAGTATTTTTATGGCTCCAGAGTAAAAAAAACTCGCAGAGATCGCTGAAGTTAATTGATAAAAGAATCCACTTCCAGTATTGTGATTCGCTTCGGTTCAATTCGAGTTTTTATCGCCATTCCATTCCGAACGAAATGTCCAATTAGGCTTTTAAAGCTTATAACTATTTGCATAAACGTAGAAATAATTTGACAGTCCATTTACCCAATCGCGTTTATTGGTGTGGAAAACAAACACCTGCGTCGGATTTGAAGGTTTAAATTTAGTTCAGCGGCGTATATGGAACTAGATTTGAAAATTGGGTCATATTTTATGTTCAATCATACGAAATTATGGAATACAGAGAATTACGTTTGAACAACCTATTTCTGAATATTATCTATCATAATTTATCTCGGCAATAATGTTTATATTAATGGACTCAAATCTATGTATACTAATATATAGAGCTGAAAAGTTCGTTCGTTTGTTTGATTGCGATAATCTCACGAACTACTGGTTTCAATTAATAATTCTTTTTGTTGGCTAGAGCATTTATTGAGGAAGGCTATAGGCTAAAAAACATCGCCCTGTAACTTAATACAAGCGATGATATAGCAAGAAATGAAAAAAAAAATGGGAAAATTATTAATTATAACCCATAATAATGAATAATTTTCCCAATTTTTTCCCGAGGCGTACGCTGCGAACGCTGAAACAGGTTCAAGATACCCAAAAAATATGTACGTATGTAGCGACGGGAAGGGATGCGACCGACGCGACGTGGGTAACAGCTTAAGTTGATAATTATGATGGGGTTTGCAAAACGAATTTGGACGCCCAAAATAACGATTCCCACGGACGAAGTCGCTGGCACAGCTAGTTGTACATAAAGAGAATAAATCGGATATCAACAGACTGTAGGCAGAATTTTAGATCAGATTTCCAGCGGCAGTCCAAACTGTTTCTAGAAGTTTATAAATTTATTAAAAACACGTTAGACCCGGAACAAACCCGTGACCCATTGTTTATTAACCATACATTGTTAGAGACCAACAGGCTTGAAATTTTTTTTAAATATTTTTACACGTTCGAAAATTCATTGAAAACATTTTCGACTCGGGCAGGACTTGAACCGGCATCGTCAGCGTCCCGTGTTGTTGCCTTTATTGGGCCCCCCCGGTTTTGAGTTTCCAGGGGCCCTTTTTTTTTTTTTTTTTTTTCCCCCCCCCCCCCAATTTTTTTTTTTTTGCTGTTGGTTGGTATTTTTTTTTCTTTTTTTTTTTTTTTTTTGACACCAAAAAACCCCCCCTTTTTTTTAAACCCCCCTCCCCCCCCTCTTCTTTTCTTCTTCTTTAATTTTTTTCCTCCCCCCCCCCCCCCCAATTTTTTTTTTTTCTTTTTTTTATAAAAAAACCCCCCCCCCTATAGAGCACAGTCAAAAGAAATGTACATAGGGACTGTTGATGAAAACTATTTTTTAATTCTAAAGAATTCTCACAAACTACATGAACAAAGTGTTTTATTGTAGAATAATAATATAATAACGCCGCCGTTGCTAAGTATTCAATGGTAAAAGGTAGCACTTGGTAAAGAAAATATATAGTTGAATACGTGAAAAGAGTAGCGTACTTTTATTTCAAATAAAGACGCGTGACGTACTATAGATACTGAAATTTACATTTAACTAAAGCTTAGTGCATTCTTTTGATACCAGATCTAGTCCTAAATTAAAACTATGCTTTTTTAAATAAAACACTTTAACGGTTTAAAACGCGATATATTAGTTAAACTTAGCCTCCCCGTGACCACGCGGGGGAGGCTAAGTCCTTATTATTCTCTGAACTATAAAAAAGGTTTAAAATTATTAAAGGTATAAAATGGTCGTCTCTGTAGCCAAATGGTTGGCCTGGCATTGCTTTAAGTGCGAGAACTCCTGGTTTTGAACTCCCGGTGAAGCAATAGATGTTTCGCTCGCGGGCACAAAAGTCTATGCACTTTTGGCATATAAGTAAAATCGTTGAGTGAAACGGACACTAAAATGTGTTCGCCCCATGCTGGGGTAAACACGCAATTGCATTGCAAAAATTGAGGTTTAACTGAGGCGAGACCTACCTACCCGCACCTTAAAAGACACTTATATCAATCGAAGAGACTATAATTTAAATATTGCGCGTTTCAAACCGTTAAAATATTTTCTATAAGTAATACAATTAATCTTCTACTGTAAGGTCAGTGAACCTAAGCGAATACTTATTCGAGATTGTTTGGATGCAATTAAAACTCATTTCAAAGCGTTCTTTGTATGGAACTTTCAAATGTAGGGTAAGATTAATAAAGAAATGAGTTAGACTGGATACTTGGCACAGCATTGGTGATTAAAAGTAAGGGCTTTTGTCACCTGGGTCGCTGCCAACACACCTCCGAAATTACTTTATTAAATGTCGTTTTCATAACCCGCTTGATATATAGATCCTTCTATCTTATGACAGCGATAAATTTTTAAAATATGGTTTAATTTTTAAATAAAACACTCTTTAAACGTTTAAAACGCGAAATGTATTAGTTAACATATTTACACACAGCAGCCATAGTAACGGAGGGTAATTGGAAATGAGTAAATTAATACCGATTTCTTACAAATCTTGGATTTTAATGTGTACTATATCTAGCTCAACTACAGAGTATACCCAAATTTCAACATGCATAATAAACATATTTTATAATAAACAATACAGTTATTCTCTACTGAGCCTTTTATAAAACAATCACTATGATTGGTGATAGAAAAACTGATTAAAACCCGATTCTTTGATACATAAATCGTGAACCGGGCGAAACTACAATATTCCTCGCACCCATTTAAAATCCAGATTTTCGGGAGTCCAACATCTTTCAGAAAAATTAAAAAGTGATTTAAGAAATTTTGGTCCCGGCGGGGATCAAACCCATATCCCATCTTCCATCTTCATCGACTTGAACCGGCATCGTCAGCGTTCCGTGCTGTTGCTCTAAACGCTGAGAGATTTATTTTCGATGTTTGAATTATATAGTGCCTTCGTGCAATAACATGTAAAAAAATAATAAAATTTTCAAACAACTGACATGTTTTAAAACTTGTGAACCACAAAGGTTGCTTTTGTAGCTGTTCCTGACTTTGACATCTCGTCTTTGTTTAATCTCCTGTAACCGCGATTCGAAATGTTCAATTCACAAAACCTACCTTAATATTTATTACTACTACCACCTTAGTATTATAATTCGTCATAAGTATCCAGTTCGGCAGTGATAAAAAAACAATAACAATAGTCAATCAATTTTGAATTATCAATAGTTCTTTTTAATTTATTGGGTATTAACAAAATATTGAATTACTAGCTGTGCCAGTGACGTCGGTCGCATAGAATTATTATTATGGGCATCCAAATTTGTTTTTGCGAACCTCCTCTTCGTCTTATTAATTTAGCTGTTACTCACTACGTCGTCTGCGTCCCGTCGTTCTTGCAAGTTAATATTAAAAGATATATTTATACTGTTTTTAGCTCATTTAAAGAGGATTAATTTTTTCATACATATATTTAGATATCTTAAACCGTTTACGCAGCGTACGCATCAGAAATCCACAAGTTAAATGTTTTCCCCCATTTTTTCCACATTTTTAAATTCGAACCAGTAGTTTCCGAGCGGTTCAAACAACAAACAAACTCTTTAAATTTATATATTAGTATAGATAGAATAATGTAAAAAATATATTCCAAATTAAATGTAAGTTTTCTAATCTTTTAAAATATTTAGAGATTAACAGAGAAACGAAAAGTGAAGTTTGCTTTTTAAAACAAGGTTCTAAGGCGAGTGTATCTACTTAAGATTATATTTTAACATAAGTTTAAGAGGTTAGTTCTTTAAAATCTTATCTGTTATCATTGATGTCATAGTCTGTCAAATCTAACAACTATATGATGTAATTTTTTTTTACTATTTAATTAAATATTGCCTGTAGTTTACGTAAGTAACATTAGCTAAATCAAACAGCTTGAATGGTTAAAAAAAAAACATTTAAATTTAAGTAATTATTTATAATATTTTTAAATAAGAGTGTAAGAGTCAATAAGCATTTTAATTGTAAAAAATTAAGAAATTCTGAGTTTTTGTATTAATCTACTAATGTTCCACTGCTGCTAGGCGCAGGTCGCTTGGGAGAAGGTAATTTTACGGACATTTTTACCCCCACGTCATTATTACCCGACGTGGGCGTGCATTATGCCGTCATACCATTAGTAAAAAAAAGGCCATTAAACAAAAATTTTTAATACTAATCTTCTTCAACAGGCGCCTAGACGGTGTGTCTCATCGGCTAAAACTGGTGAACGGACGGTATTCAGCGGTGGCGTCAGTGACCCTGCTTGATGCTGACCTACCCTCACCAGCTGAGTTCATATGTACATTGAGAATACCGCAAGCAAAGTACGCAGTGCGGAAGGAGGCTATTTACTATCCAGGTTTGTTAATTTATGCGAACAGTAGGACAACCGCGCTGGTGCAAAAAGTATACCAAAATTGTAAACAAGAAATGCACAATGTAATTATGTGAAATATGTCCCGTGCTTGTTCTGTGACTGTATTAAAGATTGATTTTTATTACACGAGCTTTAAGATTCAAATTTCATTGTACTAGAAAAATTCACCTGCCTTATGGTAGAGGGTGTCAACAAGTATAGGGTTCCTTAACAAGGTGATACCAGCCTAAATAAGATGCTTATTTTGGCGTTGGATATTCGGAAATCCAGACTGGAACCGAAATGCGATTAAAGTTCAAGACTTTTCGTCTTTGGGCACTGGTTCAAAATTATTCCAACCATCCAAAAAACCATTACCAAAAATTTTTAGGCAAATTCCAACTTGTTTCTGAAAAATTATAAATTAATTAAAATCACGTTGGACCAGGTGGGGATCGAATCCAGGCCCATAATATTAACATTACTACTGTTAGACCAAACATATAAAAATAACAGTTTAAATTTTAGATTTCTACTTTGATGGATTTTATATATATCGCCGCTCACTATTAACTCAGTTTTACATAAACGGTTGACGATTTTAATAAAATATAAAATATGAAATTAACCTATAGTATAGGTGGTATGGTTAGACACTGGACTGCAGAGGCAGTCAAACAACGTAATTATGCCTCAAGATAGTTGAATTCACCGAAGCTAGCTTATCTAACCGGTAACTAGTAGCTCTTGGTAATATATTTATGTAAGAAAATGTAAAGTTATCGTTGCATACACTATAGAGATTTTAAAACAACGGAAATCTAATAAATATATATCACATATAATTTAGTACATGATAAGTTATGTAAATTAAAACTTTATTTTATGACACGGGCCTCGAACCGCGGACTATCCGGCAATACCATATGCGTTAAGGTTGAAATTATATTTCATAAGTATAATGCTTAAGAATCTTCTATTATGACGTTCGGGATATTGTAGTTCTGTTTTATAACTCTTATCGGCGTAAATATCAAATCTTTAACTTCGGCTCCTCGTGACTACGATTGCTGCAAAGCATCCGAAACCAACGGCCACAGTTAAAACATACGTTAGCTTAAATGTGTAAGCTACAGACAAGCTTGCAATTGGTAGAGTAACGTATGCTATTTCGCAAGGTGTCAAGCGTAAGGAAACTCAAGTATCATAGATATATTTTGTTCATTTACAAATTAAGATAACAACTTCAATTATTTGATAAAAAAGGCCGTTACTTTTATTGCTGCACAATTGTAACCGCAATAAAACGAACCTTAAATGTCGCAGGATAATGTGAAAGACACCAGCACAAAGATGTTTGTTTATTTAAGACGAGCAATTTAAGCACTTTATAGCTCATTAAAGCGAAAGAATAAGGAAATGTATCTCAACTTGAGGCTCTAAAGGTAGGCGTGAAAATAACAATTTCTTGTATAAATTGCGGTGGAAACATTTAAGCTTTTTATCAGCGGCAGGTTTGGCCAGCTATCTAAGCTGGATGGCACATTTCCTGCGGTGCCCGCGAATAATTTTATGCTTCGTTTAAGCTATTGTTGGAAAAATCCTCTTACAGGAGGGGAGCGGAACGCCTTCGTTAATTAATGTTTGCTTTGTTGACAAGTTTTGTTTGTTTGCTTATGTGTGAAACTACTGCTTGAGTTTTAAAAGTTGTGTATGTTAAAAATCTATTTAGATTCATTCGGTCATTAAAAAAAGTTAAATTTCGATTTACCTTTTCTGGGCCCTATTAAATCAATGTATCGTTTTCCCGGCAATCGAACCTAGGATCTCTTGCGGTTAAAGCAATGCTAAACCACATACGTTTACAGAGCTATGGTAGCGGGTTTCGAAGTCAAATTTTATTTTCTTACATAGTTCAATATTTAAAATGGTTTTCTATTTATTCTTTATCTAAAACTTGTTAGATCTAGTCGTAAAAATCTATACACGAAATGAATAGTTATGGAAATTCCGTCTGTTCGTCCGTACCATAATCCTGCGCTTTGGTTTTAGTTTAAAGATTTCAACAAGTCGATCATTAAACTTGCTTGTCCTTCTTTGTCGTCTAAAACCTTATAAGTCTATTTTTTGTTGTATTCCATTATTAAATGTTATTAGTTTACGGTAATAATTTTAACTTTAGTATATCAATTGTAAGATTCAATTAAATTTATCTACAGGTCCTATTAGCACGACACCAGAAATGCCCACAGCAGCAGATATGCAGTTGGCTGCAGCAGTCGGATCAAGAGGTGAATATTTCAATCCTTCTTTTAATATGTTTTCATTGTTTATAGATTTTAATCATGAAACATTAGTATTATCTTCACCTTATTAACGAAAATGCTTTTCTATTTTTGTAGCTTATAAGAAAGATAATAATAGCTTAATATTAATACATCAAGCGGGTTGGTGTCGATTTCGTCAATTAATTTGTTAATGAAAACAAAACAAGCTTAGCGGGATAAATCTGCTTTAAGTATCTTTTCAATTAACAACTCGCGAAATTTTTGGGGATTAACAAATTTGTTAATCGTATTTGCGACGATTTTGTTTAATATCTCTTAGATTACTTGTAGCGGCTGAGAAATTTATCAAAACAGCATTTCTCAAAGTTTTAAAGGCTTGTTCTTAGGCTACTTGTATGTAGTTCGGAAATATTAATAGCTGTACGCTAAACGGCTTAAAAATAAGACGTCTTAAGATTTGTAATGCTGTAAGCAAAGTTTCAAAAGATATACAACTGGTATTTAGTAAAGCTTTGCTTACTATATAACTTAAAATTGTACTTCTAAGATCTTGAGGTTTGAGACTGTAGTAATAACATTTTAAAATATAACTGTTTTAAACGAATAAATATGATACGTGATTGATGTTAAGTTACATTTGAGTATAAAATTTAAAGAATTAGCTTCGGGTAATATAGAACAGATATATGAAATGACTTTACTTTTACAACAAATTTAACCGACATGGTTTAAAGCATTGTCGAGGTCAAAAATTAACTAAAGGAAATATAATTGATTTCTTAATCTACTCACAATACCTCCGTCTTGAGTTATACTTTTATTTACCTATGTGTCGTATATCAAAGTAAAAGTTAAAAATAATTTCTTCACGCAGGTAACAAGGTACATTGCTATACTTTAATTTTTTTTACGCGTCTCTTTTCTTCACTCGACTATAATATTACTAACATTTGATCAAATAAATTAATAATCGTATTGAAGAAATTAAAAATAATAACTATTGTTTTCGCAAATCAAATGGTTAAAATGTATCTTTTTTTTTATGAAAAGGATTTTTAATTTATATAGTTACATCATGTAAAAATATTAAAGTTTTCAAACGACGAACCAGTAAAGATATTGATGATGTGTTGATTTGGAGATGAAACCTCTCAGAGGTGTAAAACCTTGGCCCAATTAAGCTACAGAACGATGCAGATAAATTCCTTTCGGGATCGTGTTAGTTCATAATGCTGGCGTGTGCCCCATTTACATACACGCGTTAATACCCCAGACTGTAGCTCTGTGGACTCAATGCATTTCCGCTACACTGTCCGTCCAATTGTTCGGTGGAAGCTGTCCCAATTTACTATGTGGTAGTCCGGAGCGGGCTTTGTGTTTGAAATAAAAATCTAATGCGTCGAAACGAAGAGCTCCGAAAATATTGTTATAGTATTTTACGCGAGTAGTACACATTTTGAATAAAACACTTTTATAAATATATTTATTGTCTTAAGCGGTTGAGTGTTTTAATTAAATGCGTACTGCTCGCGTAAACTACATAGGTAAAATATTATCACAATGCTCTTCGTTGTCTTATCAATGTATTAGAGTTTTATTTCAAATATCGGGCCCTCGATAAAACAAGTTTAAAAAATTTACCGATATGTTTTTCGTATCAAACCGTTTAAAGTGTTTTGTTTAAACATGACTACGATTTAAAGTATGTACTCTGTTAATATGTTAAATGCTGTTGTTCTCCCCCTGTCACTTCTGTGCCCTACATGACCGAAGAGAAATATTGTTTCTCAATTGGGACAGACCTCTTATGCTTTAACCATTGAGCTATGGAGGTGGTTTTAGTTGGTAATATCAAAGTTTACACGATGAAATATAGTTGTAGTGTTTTTAATTCTTTATCCGGTAGATTTTCATAGAGAAGTAAATAAGGGAATCGATATCGACGGTAAAATTCATGAACGCAGTAGTTCGAATCCTCGAACGTTGCAGTATGTTTAATCTGCCCCTCTGACCATGGCTGAAGGGTCTGAAATATCGGGTCATAGTTATAATTAATACAAAATAAATTAATCTTACATATTATGCCGCCTTCGATCCATTGGAAGTGATCCAGTGAAATTTATTAAAATTACTTGCGTAACCTACATATTACTTAATTACAAATCGTTTCGAATGGAGCTCGTTATTTTAGTCCACACTTTATTCTTTTGTTTACAGGTTCAAAACTGTTATCTGCTCTGGCGATCCTCGTGCTACCAGCGTTAGCTCACACTTTTTTATCTTAGGCGTTAACAAGGTAAATCCATACAGAATCTCTTATAATTAGCTAGCTTCGTAATATTAAACATATTTTTAAAAGAAACAAATTATTTTTTTTAATATAGAAAAAACATTGATTCTATGGATTATGTATTGGATCGTAATGTAGATTATTGTTGATAGAGGACGAACTAGTATGGGGTTCATGCGATAGGCGATAAAATATTCCAGACATATAAAATCTAAATATGATGCGCTGTCGCCCTATGTCTGTTTTGGATATTTGTATAAGATCCGGGAGAACACTAAATTCTTACAGTCTGCCAGAAAAATTATAAAATGTATTACAAACATGCTGACCCCGGTTGGAATCGAACCAACGACCCGTTGATTGCGTTGATTATTTATTTATATTAAATAAAAAATTGTTTCGTTATTAAAAAGACATAAGTCATTATAACAATAAAATTCAAATGCAAATATATATATTTTTATCTCTGTTCCCTCCATTACAGGTTGCAATGGTGACATAGAAGGATCTCAAGTCAAAAGATCAAAACCAAAGGATAGTAAAACCAAATTTTCTATTTTAGGATAATTATTGATATGCCATTGTTTTGTATTCTCCCATTTACCATAACACAATATAAAAACTACATTGAACCTAGTTAAAGGAATTTCAAGAATAAAGTATTTAATTATAGTTAGTGTTTCTACAAAAACCAGTGTCACTTCATTTCACACAAGAACGCTATAGTTTCACAAATACAGATTTATGAAACTTAATTTTAGAGTTAAAATTAAGTTATTGCTTTCTTTAAATATTTCGCGTTTAGCTTTACGATAATTAAAATTGTACAGTTCTAATAAATAATTTATCGATATTTTCAAAGTATTTTTCTTATCGTAACGTAAGTGTGTACATAATGACTGTATAAACGTAGATTAGGTAATGGCCTAATGAATTTCAGTGCTTTTTTATTTTTATTTCTTAGCATGACACCTGTTAGGTGTCAGTGTAAGATTTGAGCCGTAAGTTATTTGTTACTTAAACTAAAGCTCTTGTACGTTTCACATTTCAGTACTTCCTTTACGTGATTCTGTAATATTTATTATAGTAGATAAATAATTTCCAATTATAAGTGTTGATAAAACAGAGTTTTGAATTTAAAATGAGTGAAAAAATTACACTACAAAACAACTAATGGTAAAAACTTAATATAATGATTATTGAAAATGTTATTTTAATTGGAATTATTTATAAAGTAAGGAGAGTAAAAACGTTACTTATTTTTAATTCATTAGCATATTTTGTTTTTAAGACCGCTTTAATTTTTCAAACTTGTCTGTTTAGACTAAAAATCGAAAATAAATTTGAAAAAATCTTTGGACTCGGGCAGGTCATGAACCGTCATCAGCGTTCCGTGCCGTTGCTCTATCCACTCGAGCTACCGAATCCTACACCTCATCGTTGAATTTTTTCAATTTATTGATACATGTACCTCTCGCGCAGTGTAATTTCAAAGAAAACCAACATTTGAAAATTTATTTGCCATTTTTAATCTATATAGTGCCATCATGTGCAATAACATGTAAAAAAATTATTAAAGTTTTTTGTATGCTAAGTTCACAGTCTGTAACGTATAAAGATGTTTCAACTATTCATTTCTACTAAAAATAGAGGAATATTGTAAATATTATTTTATCTTTATGTATCACATTGCCCATATAGTGTATATACCTCGTTCGATTTTTCAGTAAAATTAATTTAAACCAGCTATATAATTTAAGAGTAAAATCAACATGGTATTAATATAAAATGTTCATTAATTTATTATACATAGTTTAATCATTAGAGGCACGAATCGCCCGCTCTATTAAATGCAATTATGTCGGAAACGACTTTAACTGTGTCAAGGACAGTAATTCTATTATAATTTAGGCTAAATAATTATTATAGAGTATAATTCAAATGAAAAAGACACCAAAGAATTATATAGATATCTATGGCGTATGTAGCTTACGCAAATAGCTTTTAACCGTTTAAAACGCGATAAAAGGCATGGAAATAATTGTGGAGGCTATTTTAAACGGTTAAGTGTTTTATATTAATGATCTATGTCATTAATTGCTTCGTAAAAGCTATAAAGTTGTTACACTCTGTAAAGTGCGAATCAAAAAACAATTTTGAATATTGTGGAAATGTTAATTATTAGTGGAAATTCGTGGAAATCCACAGCGCGTTAAACGTACAACGATATACGTACAGATTATGTACAAATAATATTGAATAATGATATAGAGAATGTATTGTTTTTAATTGTGGGGTCGTCCCCTGACAGGGTAACCAGTTAATTTTATTGTGTTACTGTTATCAAAGATTGTACTATCTTTGCTGTTACTATATCTTGTACAATATAAAAATTTGACAATTGACATTAGGGATGGGGTACAATCGATTGTGAATTGATTCGATCATTAAATTGTTTTTTTATGGTACGTGTATTCGAGTGTAAAAAATTGAAAATCGTTATTCACACATTTTAATGTTAAATATGTGCAATATTTGGTCTCTTCTTTTCGTGGTAAAGCTATTAATAAAATATAACGTCACGAAAAAAAAATATTTGTAAGACGTGAACTGTCACATTTAACATCCTTTGTTAGACAAGGTATACATATTTACTAATGAACTAGTAAATTATTAATAATAATAGTTAATAACCTCTTGTTTTTAATAAAACAGACAATTCGATCAAAACTACTAGAATAAATAAATGTAACGAATATTTTCAGCAAAAAATATATGAAATCTGAGTATAACGTAAAGAAACATTGAATCAATACTCAATCATAATATTATAAAGACACTAGGTTTTACGTAATTACACACCACAGAATTATAAAACAACTATAGGAAATTCTATTAAAATCGCACATCACCAGCAAAACAGAATGCTAAATTTCTACGGATACAAAATATAATTTAAGTAATTAATAGCATTTTTCTGTAAGCATCTTATATTACCTACTTGCTTTAAGTAAAGCATTACTGTTACCAATTTACCACCAGATCAAGATAGACGGCGGTGCGAGCGGCGTCGCGATGAACGATTTCTCGCGCAACTTCGTTCTAACTTTTGTTTAGATCGCCGTTCGCTTCGCTGAACCTTTGTATCAGTAAATTTTTGGTCTGACGGTTACTGTCCTTGTATCGTACGATAAGATCGCTAACTATGTAATACTGCATCCGTTCAAAATAAGCGCTAGTGTAAATAACTGTACGCATTTAGATAAGTTTTGCTAAGACACATTCGCTGTGCATATGCCATGTATGGATAAGATCCAATCAAGACTTTATTGTGAGATTTCTTAAATAAAAAGGGTCGTTGTGTACTTCGTTGTTTTATTTAATCTATCTGTACTAACTATCTGTAGTTTACGCGAGTACATATTCCAATAAGACACTAACGGTTTCAAACGCGAAATAAATGCAAAGCATCCGAAACGACAAGCTGTAGTTAAGAATATTTGTAATTAAGTTTAACTAATATTTTTCATGTTTTAAACCGTTAGTGTTTTATTTTGAAGTGTTTTAAAAATATCCTACATGTTATGAAAAAATATGACATGGGCAGGCTTTGAACCCACACCCAAAATTACTGGCTCACTTCTATGGTTTATTACCGAACATTTATTAAATTTTAATACGTGCCTCATCATTTTTTATAAATTAAAGAACTAGATTTTGAAAAAATAAATGATGAATACAGTAAAATATTTATTAGGTTATCGTTCTTGCAGTTACTTTTATTACTTCAAAAAACACAAAAAAAACACATCGATTTAAAACGTCAACTAAATACGTAAAATAGACTCTAATTATGCCTCGATTTTTTATATGCTATTTGGATCTCGGTTGCTATTTAAAGCACCCCAAGATACTTATACTTTAAACTTTACAGTTCGTGTTTTAAACAGTTTTAACGTTAATTTGCAACTTATAAGTAATTTTTTTCCTCTTATTCAGGTTTTTTACAGCGAAGCTTCACTATATAGTTCTATTTTTTAAGTAATTATTGGAACATTCCGTTTGAGCAATACGTTATGATAGAGTTCAGCAATAAATTATTTGAATTGCTATGTATTCGCGTTCGATCTAATTCTATTTAGAGTAATGAGGTTCAACCTAATTAAATACTGTATTGTGTATTTTGTTTTGTCTTGTATTCTATAAATTACTTATTTATTTTTACTAATCTAAACTTAGTATGATTATCAAAAAAACTTATACACGATAGACACCAGTTTTTGGCGTCACTTAACAATTACGACGTAAATTAAAGAAATGGCTGTAAGCCTATCTATTAACATCTAAACAAATGCGCTGTCAACCTGTCATTCAGAAGTCCTCAGACTGAAACCATAAAGTGGCGTTACACTTGACATTATGTGACTAACTGATACATTTAATATATTGCGATACATTATTACAGGTGTGGACAGGGTGAGACGTTACGAAACTATCGGAAGTTAAGGAGTTGGTGGAAATCCAACCCACGACCCGTTAATTAGTTAGTTGAAGCTATGCATTAGATTTGATTTAGCGACTGTTGTTAATAATGTGTGTGTAGTTAATACATATTTTTATAGTCGAGATGATTTTTTTATTTAATTTATATGTTTCTTCATCTATTTTGTTATTTTTACATATATTCGGACATGAAAACATACATTTAAAATAATTGTTACATATAAATATAACCTAATTAGCTAAACTATCACGCACCGGGACTGATACAAGAAATACTCTTTGATTATTTTACACTTGATGATGAATTCTGTACACTTGTGGCAGCCCTAATAGCTTGTAACCTCTAAGCAGACCATAAGTGGAGGAGCTCACACGTTCAACAGTTGCGAACTATCAATAAATTCTTATAAAAATCGAAAGGGAAATAAACAATTCCGCTGATCAATCACGCGAAGATGGACCGTACCTAGATTACATTAGGGAGCGTTTTCG